TGTGTGTGTGTGTGTGTGTGTGTGTGTGTGTGTGTGTGTGTGTGTGTGTGCGTGTGTGTGTGTGTGTGTGTGTGTGTGTCCGCGTGTGCCGGGGGGAGGGGAGGGAGAACCCCTCCCCCACCAATCAATCAATCAATCAATCAATCAACCAACCAATCAATCAATCGATCAATCAATCAATCAATCAATCAATCAATCAATCAATCAACCAATAAAAAAAACAATCAATCAATCAATATTTATTTATTTTTTCTATTTTTTTATTTTTTTTGTCACACACCAAACCACCTCCCCCCCTAATTTTTTTTTTTGTTTTGTTTCTTCTTTACAGGGCGATAACGGCCAACGTGCGCAGGCAGCGCGCACATGCCGTTTTCCCGTGTGCGCCCCTGCCTGGGCCTGGTGCGGCCGCGCGCAAACTCGCCCGTGGCCGAGGCCGCAGGATCCGCGGCCGACGGTGCCACATAGCCGCCAGCCATTCTGCTTCCCACCCCAAAAGTTGCTGTGTGCATGCAGCCCAATGGGATACTGACCTGGCGGTGGTGGGACCGAATCTGGTGACACATCGTGCCCAGGTCACGATGGCCTTGGAACGGGCGGGCCATCCTGATTTTCGGCAGGTACTGCTCCTGACAAATAGATTGGAGCTGCAAGCGAAAGCTCTACCAGCGAAGACAGTCTTATCACTTCCCGACGTTCCCCCCGTAGTAGGCGGACGCTGGTCTTGAGTTTGCAAAGGCAAACAAAAACACGCTCCCGCAAAGATATCACTGCGTGAATTTGAAACGGAAATTTGTGTAGTATCGAATCCGTTGGGCTCTGTTTTTTTTTTTTCTCTCTAAGACTTCCCCTGTCTGACACTATGGCCGACCCCCCTTTTTATTATTATTATTATTATTATTATTTAATTTTGGAAGGGGGGGCGGGGGATGCCCCATCTATTCGTGGGAGGCATCACCTGCTGAAAAACGGGTACTCAGAAGTGACACCAGTGTACTTGCCCCCGACCCCCACCCCAACAAAAAATAAAATAAAATCGGAGCCGAAAACGTACTGGTGGTATAATTTCTTACCCCTTTCCCAACTTTTCTGTAACCTGTTTTTTTTTTATCCTTATGTGCAGACAGCTCATAAAGGCTTCCAGAAGTTCCCCACCTCTGTGGAGTTTGTTTGTTTGTTTTTTTGTTCTTTTTTTTAGGAAAACACCCCCACCAGTGTCAGTGCTGCTGATAAGAGCCGACACCACTAACAGTCGGGGAAGAATTCTTTACTTTGCGTTGTTCGCAAGCTCAATATTATTTGAACTGATTGATGAATCTGTAACCTGTTTTTTTTTCATCCTTATGTGCAGACAGTCCATCAAGGCTTCCAGAAGTTCCAGGGTATCCCACCTCAGAGTCTGTGGAGTTTGAAGAATTCCTTACTTCGCATTGTTCGCAACCTCGATATTATTTGGAGGGACTGATGAATTCCTTGTATTAGCAGAAAGAGCAGGCACATGGACTGGCAGGCTTGCTTTGTGCAGGCTTCCTATGCCTGCACCTGGTCAAGCAACACTAACTTAAAAGTCTTTAGAATATTATATGCCTTATACATCCATTGCTCCAGTTCCCTCTTCTCCCCCACCTGTACAACATCTTCCCACCGCTTTTGCCCCTAATATACGCCGCAACCGCAATGCGGCTGCAATATGCTACGGCAGCTGTAAAGAGAGAAGAGACTTAATTTTAAATTAAAAGTTTATGAACAATTGTCCCGCGTTGCAAAACTCAACTGGGATTCGGAAACACGTAATTAGCCATTTGCTGCACCCATTGCCCCTTAACATGCATTTGGGAAGTGCGGCAGGTTGGCAGCTGCAGTTCTGGAAGCTCCCACAAAAGCTTTGACAGATAACCAGATCATCGGGCGGACCCATTGATTGGCTGATCAGCACTTGAAGACAATGACACAACTCAAATTGAAGAAGAAACAACACTTTTAAGGAAAAACAGACTTGAGCTCACCATTGGGAGATGCAGGAATGATATGCGCATCAAAATGTCTAAGACCCTTTAAGGGAAATAAAACAATCCGTGGACCTATCTGCTAGCTGGCACACATGTCACGCCAGGTGCCTTGGTCCTGGGGCATCCGGAATTCCATGCTGCAGCCAACAAAGCATTGACAGACACACGAGAGAGAGAGAGAGAGAG